TCTATCTTTACAAAAAAACTTTTTGGTCTGTAACTTTAACCGTGCTATCCAGCCACCACCCCTACTGATAGATATTCTTTTGTATTCTTTCACACTTTGAAATTTCAGGCATATTTAAAGCCCAGTTCAAATCTTCCTTCCTCTTGAAAGACTGTCCTATCAAAGCCTGGACCAGCTTGCCTCATGTACATTTTTTCATGCAAATTCATCCCCTCTTCACCTGGATTACAGCTCCATGAAAGTAGGGAACACATTTTCCACTCTCTCATGGAGCCTAACATGGGGCTCAGTCAAGACTCGCCAGATTAAACTCTTTAATAGCTTGGGAGAAGGTTAGGAAACCCATCCAAAAAAAGGTGGAGGGAAAAAGTCATTCATTCCCTTGAACTCAGGAGGAAATAATGATCAGATGATGGGGGGCGGGGGATGAAAAATAAAGACACTAAATAGAACATACTGCTTGAAATTTTATGTAGCTCTTCTCTTTTAAAATACTTAAAAAATTTAAACTGCAGTAAGGGCTATTGGAGAGCTTTTCTATTTTCTATTTTCTTTCCTTCTCTGGGGAAAATGTATGGATTATGTCCTAACACCACAGGGCAACGAACTCTGTTCAAGGGGGCAGTGAACGAGGAAGGAGCAGGTAGTTGCGAACAAGTCACCTGCCCGTCTGGAAACAGCACATGCCCTTAGGAGCACCGGGAATAGAAAAGATGGGCAGTGGCTGCGCCTCTCTGATGATGAGGGCAAATTCTCTGTCCTGCAAATGCAACTGTACTTCCCACCTATCCTAGGAGGAAAAAGGAGCCTTCCCCTTCCTCCAGCTCAAGTTTTCTCACCTGATACCCAGCCTAGTCAAACTATGCATCAGCACAATCAACCAAAGAAAACAGTTTGCGAGGGATATGCAGAGGAACTTGGCTAACTCCTTCTGGGACCACTTTTTAAAGTTTCCTTTGACCCTAGAGTTACGCAGAGCATAGGAGGGATATGCAGAGGAACTTCACTAACTCCTTCTGGGACCACTTTTTAAAGTTTCCTTTGACCCTAGAGTTACGCAGAGCATAGGTGCTTCCAATCGCTTCAAAGAGAACTCTCGGCTCTGATGAGTATTTGGGGGGCCATGGGCCAAAGCAAGTCATGGGCTAACACTTTTATGCCGGTTCTTTGATCGACTTCCTTTAATCTCTTATCGTGGGTTTGATTCTCGTTTTGTACCTCACCCTCCGGACCTCCTCTGTGCTGACTTTCCTTTGAAGTCAGCGGTAGAGTCAGGTAGAGGCCATAGGAAACAGACGTACAACTGTCAAACTGGTTGCGATTGTTTTTATGTTTTGTACATAGTATTTTGTTTTGAATTACTCAACCTCTCCACACCTGGGCTCTTCAGATGTTTCCTTATCTGCTGGTCTCTGACATCTGAGTAAACAAATGCGGCTTAAATTCAAACAAAATTATTCACCTTAATAAGTAGACATAAAAAATGATGGAGAAACAGTATTGACATGGAATGTTGTTGACCGGAGCTCATACGGTGAGAAAGAGCAGGTTATAATTTTTAAAAACCTATTAAAAAGTACAGAACGTCCAGGAGGATGATGTTAAGGCATTTTCAGCAGTTATATCTGAGTAGAGGGATTATGAGTGTGTTTAATTTTGTGTTATTTGCTTATCTTTATTTTCCAATTTGTATTAGATGAACAGGCTTTGCTTTTGCAATAAGGAAAAAAAGCGTATTTTTAATTTAAAAAAATAGTCACATAAAGACAAGAAAAGTAATCTTCCATTAATAATGAGCTTATTTCTTACAAATGACATTTCTGAATGTTTCGAGCTGATAATAAATGACACCGTTTTTTTTCCTAACTAATCTTCTTGTACCATTCTCCCAACTTATTCGACTGTGGGAATTTAAAAACAAGCTCGACTATCATCGGGGTAGTTATTAATTATTGTATTCATCACCCGAGATCTATCATGTGGGTATGGATTGGAAGATGCTGCATTAGCTGGGAAACCGTTTGGGAGCTGAAGTCAGACAGGTTTGTTTTGAATCCCAGAGCCCCACTACTTTTTAGTTGTAGAAGTAATTCTCCCAAGATAAAGCAGCCAGTAAATGATGAAGCCCCAGGTCTTACACCTCGGCAAGGGTGGCTCTGGCTCACTCGGGACAGAGGAGGGGCGTGTGAGACTCAGCCTTGCTCGGCCTCCCTCCCCACTTCAGCCCACATCCGCCCTCCCACATACGCCCTGCCTACCTGGGAAGCAGGGGAGGGGACTGCCTTTCCCCAGCCACCCCCTCGGCTTTTCCTCTCCTTCCTGCCACAGCTTCCCTCCTTCCCCAGGGTCAGACTTGTCACCCGTGACAGCTGGAGCAGTCGGGAGAAAGTTCAGTGTAATTCTTCACACAGGGGAAGCACATGGGAAAGTGGTTTGGAGGCCACACGGGTGACCTGGTCAGAGGCAAACCCAGCAGTGCA